GCCAGAGAGCTTCTACCAAGAGGATAGAAGCTTCTTTTTTCAGGACCTCACTCTGTATCTTTTCATCTGGCAGTTGATTTGTATGCTTACTACCCTTTGTAATAAATCGATAATCTAGTGAGTAAACTGGTTTCCTGAGTCCTGTGAGTTGCTCTAGCAAATTAATGGAATCCAAGGAGGGAGTTTTGGGAACCTCTGATTTATAGCCAGTTAGTCAGAGGCACAACCTGGGGTTGTGATTGGCATCTGAAGTGGAGGGTGGTCTTGTTGGACCAAGCCCTTAACCTGTGGAATCTGATGTGATCTCCAGATGGATAGGGTCAGGATTGAGTGGAATTGCAGGACGCCCACAGGAAAACCAGAAGTGATGATAAAGCCCCATGATACTCAGGGAAGAGACGTGCCAGAGGGACAGCAAACTTCTGTCTTCTGCTCACTAGAGGGTAAAGGACAGAGAGGGAAGGAGGAGACCTAGCAAACCTCTGCATCTGATATTAAACAGTATTCTGAATGAGGTCACAATCAATATAATACAAGTGTGAATTTTTAATTCACCATAATTAACTAATTAAGGAATCATAATGGATTAGTTATCTTTACATCTACTTTTTCATCCTGATCTTGAAAATATTTCATCATATTTAGCATTATCAGGGGTATGAGATGAGATAATTACTGCTATTGGGCATTCAATTTAACTCAAAATTTCCTGGCATTACTAATGTGAGAAAATAACACTATAAAGGGAAAGAGAGAATTATAATTTAATAAAAAGTCTTTCATCTATCCATTTGAAAAATTCTCAGAACAAGAAATAAGCAGAAATGTTCTCTACCTAATATGAGATAATCTGCAATTTATTAATCATTCTCACTTTGGGAGAATGTGTATAAGTGTAACTATCTTGTTGAGGTGTCCAGCTCATTGGGGTATAAACACGAGCTTTCTGTTTTCTGGGACCTGTCCCCCAACTGTGGTAGGTTGAACCTGCCTCTCTTATTAGGTAGTAGCTCTCTTAACAACTTCTTATTTTGATCCCATAATTTTTCATCTCATTACCATCTCTTAGTTATGAGAATTCTCTTAGGCCAGTCTCTAAGATTCGGTTCTGTCCGAATCTTCATTCTCACACCTGATACAAATCTCTCCTTACTTGACTGGGTGAGGTTGCCATTCTCTCTCTCTGCTTGTTGTTGCTTCCCTGGCTAACCCTGACTGGCCGTCAGTATCAGACTGACACATGCCCTCTGGGTGGCAGGAATTTAAATGCTGGTCACTTGTAGGGTAAATCTGGAAGCCTTGACAAAATCTACCCTGAATACAGGCACCAGCCGTGGGAGAGGCAGCTCCTGCAGCACTCTGCCTGTATCCCACTGTCTTAGTCAGCTCAGGCTGCTAGAACAAAAATTCCATAGACTGGGTGACTTCAACCACAAACATTCATTTTTCACAGTTCTGGAGGCTGGGAAGTCTAAGATCAAGGCTCTCACAGATTCAGTGTTTGGGGAGAGCTGCTTCCTGGCTCATGGATGGCCATCCTCTCTCTGTGTCCTTACAGTGGGGAACGGGCAAGGGAGCTCTCTGGGGCCTCTTTTATAAGGGCACTAATTCCACTCATGAGAGCTCCACCCTCATGATCTAATCCCCTCCCCAAGGCCCCACCTCCTAACAGCATCACCTTGAGGATTAGGTTTCCACATATGAATTTTGGGGGGCACACAAATGTTTAGTCCAAATCATACACCCAAGTCTTGTGAGGCCACTTCAGATGGTCTGTACCTCACAGATTCATCCTGGAGGCCCCTTGCCTTGGCACCCTGCCGAGGTGGTGCCAACAAGATGGCCAGGCCCAGTCACTCTCCCTTGGTGACACTCGCCTGACAGTGGGTGGCCAGTGGCTCCACAGGCCTCTTTCTCTCAGTTCTGGTGGCACACTCTTTCTCCTTTTCCTGGGCCCTCAGCACACTGCAGAAGGGGATGACTCCCCGTCCGGGGTGAGGGGCCGTGAAGGAGGAAAGAAGCTCTCTTCCTGGCCAGCGTGCTCCTCCAAGGCTAGCCTCGCCGACCTCCAGCCCTCTCCCGTGGGCAGGGACGTGGTGTGGTGCAGGGTGGACTAGCTTTCCTGCTTGCAGTGAGCCTTGAAGGGGGCTGGCTGACCCCTAACAGCGGGTGGCGCTCTGAGCTCAGAATATGGGATGTTTTACAACTTTTGTACTCAGCTCTAGGCCTTAGCCTCAATTCCTGAATGACAGAAAAAACCTCGCTCAACATTTTATGGTATAAGTACTGCACTGAAACCGCATCATTGACCATCAGTCATCAATAACCTGCTTTTATCTTGGGCCTTGTGCTAAGAGCCAGGGTGAATACAAGGGACTTAAACAGATTTCCAGCAGGGCAAGTGATCGCAGATTGATAGGAGACTGTTAATATATGTTAACAAAACAATGCAGGAAACAAACATACCCAGAACAATTACACCAGCATATGCTTTATGTTATATCCATCGTGCAGGAGAAGGAACAAAGGCACATTTACAGTAGTGGGTTGAGCCTCCACGTCTTCACTCCTGGCTTTGTCCGTGCTTTAAAATTATTTTTTATCTTGAAGTAATTTACAGAAGAGTTGCAAAGAGAGAACAGAGAGTTCCTGTATACTCCTCACCCAGCTTCCCCTGATGTTAACATCTTATACAACCATGGTACATTTATCAAAACTAAGAAATTAACTGATATAATACTATTCAGTAAATATGGACTTTTTTTGAGTTTTACCAGTTTTTCCCACTAATGTCCTTTTTCTGTACCAGGATTCAATTCAAGGTACCATGTTATATTTAGTCATCATGTCTCCTTAATGTCCTCCAACCTGTGACAGTTTCTCAGTCTTTTCTTGTCTTTCATGACCTTAGAACTTTTAAGAGTTCTGGTCAGGTATTTGTAGAACGTCATGCAGTTTGGGCTTTCTGATGCTTTCTCATGATGGGACTGGGGTTGTGGATTTGGGGAAGAATATCACAGAGGTAAAATTCTCTTCCCCTTGGTCATGCAGCCCTGTGACTTATTCCTTACTGGTGAGTTAACACTTAACTGCTGGTGTCTGCCAAGTTTCTTCACTGTAAATTTACTATTTTCCCCTTTCCATATTCTCTTCGTTAGAAGAGTCACTAAATGCAGCCCACACTGAAGGGGAGGGGAATTAAGATCCAGAGGAAGTATCAGACAATTTGCGGACATGTGTGAAAACCATCACAGTAATGAACAACTATTTGGGAGGAGATTCTTTGAGGCTATGAAACTACTTTCTTTCTCCTTAAAGTGTCACCCACTAATTTTAGCATTCATTAGGACTTGCCCAAAGTGATCATTCTGTGGTGTCTTAATGGTGATTTTCTTTTCCCCTTATTTCTTCTACATTTACTATTTGGAATTCATCTGTAAGGAAGATTTATCCCTTTACTCCATTTTATTTATTTATTTGACCATTGGTGTGGACTCATGGATATTTATTTTGTTCTTTGGGTTATAAATCTATGTTATATTTATTTATTCTTATTGCTCAAATTGTTCTAGCTTTGCCTCTGGGAGCTCTTTCAATTGGCTCCCTTTGACATGCTCTCATCTTTTCTTTTCTTCTCCCCACTTTTTCTTTCTTTTCTTTCCTTTTCTACAAGATGGTCAAGCTCATCCTATATTTTTCCTGCTCCAGCCCTAGAACTAGCTATTTCTCCAAGGAGCTCTGGTTCCTTTCATTGGACAATGATATTCAGGAACCAAGATCTGAGTGCTAAGTATGTTCATTGCTACCGGGCTATCAGTATTTCTAGACCCTCTAGTGGACAGAACTAGAAAATATATGTATACTAGCCTCTGGAAACACACACATCTATATTTATTTCTGTATCTATTTGTATGTATATTAAATTAAAAACTAGTTCAAACTGTACCTCCAACTCTAATCAAGCACCAGAGTTCACTGTATCCTTCCCTACTTGCCTATTTGTCACCTCTTTCTTTGACAGTAAGAAACTTGCTTCTCCTTATCTATAACATATTTACTTTTTGTTCAACTCTAGTATACATTCAAAGTAGTTTGAGAATTGCTAACCTATACTCCTGTGCCATATAAATTTACCAACTAGAGTGCAGTGTTTGTGTTCAGTTCTTTGTGTCTTTATCTTACAGTTTCAAGTAAAAACATTATTTTCCAAAGTTAATTAGGCCAGGTCCTTTTTTCCGCACCCCCTTCAGTGGGATTACATTTGTAATACAGTTAAATTCATTTGTCACAATGTATATTCTATCATGGGTTCCCCTGACAGCCTGGTTAATTTTTTAAAATTTGCATACAATTAAAGTCACTCTTTGTGTTACACAGTTTTTTGTGTTTTGACAAATGCATAAAGTCATGTATCCACCACCACAGTACCAATCAGAACAGCTCCATTATCCTAAAAATTCCCTTGTGCAGCTCCTTTGTCGTAAACCTCTCCCCTTTCCCCAAACCTGCCACCACTGATCTGTTTTCCACCCCTGTAGTTTTGCCTTGTCCAGAATGTCGTATAAATGGAATCATACAATATGTAGACTTATAGTTCTAGCTTCTGTCACTTAACAAAATGCATTTAAGTTTTGTCCACGTTGTTGCATGAACCGATACTTCATTCCTTTTTACTGTTGAATATGGCTAAACTCATTGTATGAACACGCCACAGTCTATTTACCCATTCACCTGTTGAAGGACATCTGGGTTATTTCTAGGTTTTGGCAATTATGAATAGAGCTGTTGTAAACAGTCATGTGTGTGTTTTTGTGTGAACACAAGTTTTCCATTCACTTGGGTAAATACCTAGTAGTGGAATGGCGGTGTCGTACAAGTGTGTGTTTATAAGAAACTGCCAAACAGTTTTCCAAAGTGGATGTTATGCTTTGCAATTCCATCAGCACTGAGTGTGAGTTCCTATTCCACATCTTCTCCAGTATTTGCTTGTCCACACTGTCTCCCCACCTGTATCCCAACATCTTCCTTCCTTTTGGCTTCTGCCTGGATTACAAAACAATCTGTATTTTTGCTTTGCAGCCTGCTGGTATAAGTGAAGGTAACGATTTTAGACTAGTGCATGTTTCCACTGTGCACTAAAGTACTCTCCCATTTTTAATCTCCTAACAGTCCTAGAAGGTGGTTTCAGGAAACATTCTTAGGTTGGTATGAGAGATAACAGCACCCAACTTGAGAAGAATTTCTTTCTGCCTTTCCCAAACCTCTGCTTTTGTGAGCCTCTTAGCTCCGTACTTATTTCAGCCTCTTTTCAGCCTAACCACTGAAATACAGGATGGTCAAGGGTCTTCACTAGACCCTGTGGTGGCTATGGATCTGGCAGGATAGACCTTTCACATGGCTTTCCAGCTGGGTGGCTGGATCTTAACTCATCAGGAAGGAGCTGTGTCTCAGGCTCCTGCTCAGAGTCCCTGCCTCCTAACTTGGCAGCTAGCACATTCTCATAGTCATTGGAGTCCTCGTTTGACACCTCTTCTCCATGTTTCATCTGACTGTTCTCACTCTGTGCAGAGGACCAACAGGCTACATAATCCTCTAAAGCCAAGAATCTCCCTGACTGCATGACAGGTTGGATGTGGGTCCCTGGACCATCTGTCCTGCCCTCTACACGGTCTGTGTTTGAGGATGTCACTTCTTCCTCCACCTGCTGCTGGTTTTCATTAGAATCTGCTGGTGGGACATTTTCATAATCTCTGCAGCACTGAACAGCCGCCCAGGGCTGCTTCCCTTGAATGGCCCCGAGATCCAACCCCGCCATGTTGACATAGTCATTTGAGGTCTGAGAAGAATCTTCCCCATCGCTGAGTGGATCACTGCTCTCAGTTCCTGGAGACCAAAAACTGGGGCAGTCACTGGCATTCCCACAGCCCTCGTCTCTTTCCTCAGGAAACTCCAGCTCCTGGGCTCTTGGGAGGTCAAAGAGGTTCCCAGGAGGGCTGCTGGTAGAAGCCAGAGACTCAGCAATTTCTTCTGCTGTGGGGACATTGACGTAATCTCTCGAATCCTCTGAAGAAATGCTCGGGCAATCTCTGGAAGCTCCGATGTTGACGTAGTGTGCTGAAGGAGTGAGGTTCTCACACACGTGGGGCCCCATGGCATTGTCATAGATGCCCACTGCATACCCCACGGCATAAGGATGGGCTCTATGCGCCTGCAAGGCAGTGCCTGCTTGGGAGGGCTGTGAGTAAGAAGAGAAAGCTAGTGACAGGATGGAAGCAGAAATATGGACAGAACCTTTCCTCCTCCCTGCCCAGCACTGCTATCGGACAGTTCCTTCACTCAGCTCTCCACCCGGGAGAAAAGCTCTAGATCTGGGATCTCAAACTGCGAGGCTTTAGATGCTAGGTAGGTATGAGTGAAGTGAGCTGAGTCTAAGGAAAGCAACAGTGCAAATGTGATGATAAATTGCAACTGGTTTTTGGCACAATGTGGAGTGGGGGTGGGGTATGATGAACTGGAGGGGCTGTGTCTCAGAGCACCCTGAGAGGTGATTTAGCACAGTGGCTAATGGTAGAGACTAGGCTGAGACTGAGGGTGCAAATCCCGCCTCAGCACTCGGTGCTGAGTTGGGGCAAGTTACCTAATCTCTCTGTGCCACAGTTCACTAACCTATAAAATGGGGATAATCTTAAAATCTACATCATGACTTTTTTTGTGAGGAGTGAATGGATTACTGTGAGTAAAGTGTTTAGATAGCTCCTGGCACACAGAAAATACTAAAAAATGCCCGACGTTATTAGTAAAGGGGTGGTTGATACACACAGTCAGCAGATTACAGCTTTTTAGGGATGCTGGTCTGATGTTCCCAGAAGCTCTGAATTTTCAAGAAAGCTGGACATCCAGACTTTAATGTGAAATCTTTTAGAGATTTAAATGTTGGCAACTGGTTCAAAATGTTCTTCAAACACTACAGGGTCCAAGCCAAACATGTCTGTGGCTTAAGTCAGTTTGGGACTTAAGCTCTCGAAGCAAAATCCCCTCTGAGCCCACCAGAGCCCGGAGCCAGCTTTGGCAGTGGGGTTTCCTCCTCCCTGCCCTTTATCAGCCACTCAGACTTGCTGCCCAGGAAGTCTTAGAGGCAGGAGCAGAGCCCAAGGATGTGACATGCGAGAGGAGGAGGAAGCAAAGGTGGTAACCTGGCAGTGGTAACGTGGAGGTGTGGAGGTGGCCGCGTGGTAACTGAACCTAAACCTCTGGGTAATAGGAGGCTGGGTGACAACAGAGTCATCAGCAGCAGCATGACTGCACTTACCCAAGGATGACCACAAAACCAAAGGGATTGTTTCTTTAACAAGCAAACAAGACCTTATCTATGGAAATGAACACCCTGCTCTTCAAAGTAATCACTCTCCTGTCCCTGATGCCTCTTCCTCAAACAGTGTGGGGCTCCTGCTTGGGGGCTGCCTTCAGAGCCAGATCCTGAGACACACGGGTTTTTTTCCATTTAATTATTCCAATTAATAACAATTGGAACCTCAAAGGATATCAGACACTTGCTGTGATCAGACACTTTCTACACTAGTTACAGTGCTGAATGCCTTAGGAATATTTCTGCTATTGAGGAGAATTGAAACAATTTGATACAGGCCCCAGAAGTAAGTCCAAAGCAGGGTTTTAAGGGTGTTTTGCACACCAACTGGAGTGTTGGAATATTTGGGTACCCTCCTGAGGTGATGACTTTGAAGGGGACAGCACCCATTTGGATAAGTACGTTATCATGTCTTTGTTAAAACAATCCATTTCAGTTTTAACATCATGTCCTTGAATTCATGCACCCTGGTGCCTTTCTTAAAATCCAAAGCACTTGCTCCTATCTTTCTAAATTTTTCTCCTTGGGCAGTGGGGAGATGCTGAGGCTAGTCTTTCCAATTTATTATTAGGGCTGCAGGCCGACTGCCAAAGGACATGCTGTTTGCGGCGAAACAAGATCTGAGACCTGGACCTCTTTCCCCTCAGTTCTTCTGCCAGAGACATGTCATTTCTCCCAAGGGCTTGTCATTTCACTTGACTCTTACCATGTGCTCAGAGGGAGGGCTGTCAGAATTTCTGGAGAGGAGGCTCTCGGTACTGAAAATACGGATACTCCTCGGCTGATGTCTCCCTGAGAGGACAGAAAACAATCCTGAAGATAGCCCGTCCTCTGCGTGCTTCAGCCCCAACATCCCCTCACTGTGGGTGGAGTGGGTGTGCGTGCTGTCTGGTGTTTGGGGCCTGGTGCTCTGTGGTAAGAAGGGCAGAGCTGCAGGGATGATGTGTTCTGAGCCCTCCTCAGACTTTGTGGTGCAGGAGGACACGAGAGTAGAGGTTGGGGAGGCTGGAAATGGGGCTCCTGGGGCAAACCGTCTCTGTCTGTAATGCGGGCGGCCATGTTCTCCCTCTGAGTGTCTTTCCCACCTCTAGACACACTCATCTGTCCTCTGCTGCCTTGACATCAAGAAAAACTCAAACCCCAAACCTAGATGACCCCCTGCTCTCTTTTTAGAGCTTGCTAGGCCTCCCCTGGAGCTGTATCTTGCAGTCTATCCATCCCCTTCTCCATGTACTCTGAAGGGCAGAAAGGTCTGAAAGTTTAGAGAAAGTTGCTTCTGGGTGGTGAGATGTGCATCTGGGGGCAGAAGTGTCATTTGTCTGGACTCCATGGTTGGGAAAGGAAAACCTACCCAGCTCTTCTTGCCTGCGGGGCAAGAGGTCATAAATATTTTTGGCTCGTTGTCTTTGTCTAGGCAGAGTCAGCGAGGGCCCGACAGTAGTGCGGAGATAAGGAGCTTGCCCTGCAAGGCAGTGAGAGAGGTGGAGTCACAGTGGGCTGGCTACACAGGATGTGGGGACCCGGGGATGACACGGTCCCTGGAGACATTCCCCACTCTCATCAGGTATCATAAAAAGTACATTTTTAGACTTGACCCTTTCCATTTGAGTTGAAGAATAGGGGACTCGTGCACAGAAGCAGGAAGAGGAGACAGGGGTACAGGGGTACCAGGGCAATGACTCAAAATGGAACTCCAGTCAGCACAGAGCCTTTGAGCCACGATCTTGAGGGAGCCACGATCTTAGGATCTTGAGCGAGACAATGACCAGCATGTCAGATAAAAACAGAGGCCTCCCCAGTGCAATAGTTTATCCCTGGAGAAAAAACTGGGCTTTAAATGCCAGGCTGGATTATTGATCCCAGTGTGTCTCAACTTTGGACAAACAAGGGACTCACACTTCTTCCGTTTATTCCAGTTCCACAGGACGCAGAAAACCGTGATGACCAGGAGGATGGAGAGGAGTCCCGCGAACCCAGAAAAGATGTTGCTGCTTTGCTCTTTATCTCTATGAGGAAACAAGTGCGATGCCCAGCCATAGGGGAGTGGGGGAGAAGATAGTTCCCTCAGGAGTTAGAGCCCCAGGATTTGCGATGGAGGCCTGTGAAGGAAAGCTGAAGGGGGGTGGGCTGTGTGGTGGAAGAGAGGGTCATCTCTTGGATGGAGAGAAATTGGACACAGGAGAAGGGAACTATCCCTTTTGAATGCCTACTGGATTCCAGGGGTTTGCATGTGAAATTTATTTAATCTTTACAACAGTCCTGTCTCTCTTGTGGCCAAAGAACCTGAGATTTAGACTCAGAAATGTAGAGGAACGTGTCAAAGACATCATGGGTGGGAAGGGGCAAAGACGGATGTGAGTCTAAGTCTGTTTGGGCCCAAGGGTTGTGCTAGCTCCAGAGCACCGCACTGTCCTCCAAACTCGCCACATCAAGTCCGTCTGCCCCTGCTCCCCCTCATCCTGCTCCTGGGCTTCCTGTCCTGCTTGGAGGAGAGGATTACTCAACTTACAGCTACGGAGTGGCCCTGTGACAGAGTCCAGCTTGCGTGCTTGAGTGACCCCCACAGCACCAACCTGAGAGCTGGTCTCCAAGCAGCACTCCGCTGTTCTGTGTAATTTAACCAGTGCAAATGCACCAAGCAAGGCCACGCTGCTTGTAATTCTCTGGCAGGCCTGGAGTTCCTGCTCTGCTTTGCCTACTGTAACAGGAAGCAGCCAATCGAGGTTCCAAAAGGAATCACTAGCAGACATGCTACCCCCAAATATTAGAAACCAGGTCATCTAGCAGGGAAGGTTTTTGTCCTCCTGAGTTCTAGGCTTGTTTACTCAACTTTATACTGGAAATTTCCACCAGGCTGCCCAATAGACATCTCAAACCAAATATGTCTAAAACAGAACCCTTGCTCTCCCCCCACAAAGCTGCTCCTCCTTTGGTGTTTCCCATCATCTAGTAGCTTGGTCAAGACCCTGGAGCCATACTTGACTGCTCCCTTTCATTCATGACCCGCTTCTAGTCAACCAGTAGATTTTGTCTTCTCAACCCCTGGGCATCTATCCCAAACCCAGTCACCTCTCGCTCCTCCACTGCCACCACCCTGCTCCAAGCCACTGTGTGTTCCCCATGGACCTTTGCAGTAGCCTCCCTAATGGGTCTCCTTGCTTTCACTCTTGGCCACAAAATACTATCTTCACATGTGAGCCAGCGTGAGTCTCTCAACAGTAAATCAGATCGCGCCCCTCTGCTTGCAACCTTCCATGACTCCCCATCACACTCGGGATGACACCCATGGTCCCTCCCCAGGGAGGACTTCCAGCACCTTCTGTTCTGGCCTCTGTGACCTTCTGACTTCATTTCCTACCCCTTTCCCTCTGACTTTGACTGCCAGGACTCCTGGCTGTTCCTTGACCACGCAAAGCACAGTCCTGGCTCACCTGCCGCTCCCTCTCCCTGGAGCCCTCCTCTGCAGCTGTCTTCGCAGCTTGGGCCCTCATTTCATTCAGGTCTCTCCTGAAATAGCACCTCCTCAGACAGGTGCTCCTGGGCCACACCCTGTTACTGTCAGTCCCCATACTCTCCTCTGGTGTTTCTTCCTAGCACTTACGACCAATGGACATTATAGTCTACATTCATTTGCTTCTCTGCTTATCTCTGAGTTGCCCACTTGGCTGTCAGCTCCAGGAGGTCATGGACTTCTCTCTCCTGCTCACTGGGTGCCTGGAACAGTGCCTGGACTTATTGGGGCTTGATGAGTATTTGTTAAATCAATGAGTGAGTGAATTCATAAACGAGTGAATGAATATAAAAATAGTTTTTTGGGGGGTGAGGGCTGCAGGGTTCTGACAACTTTATGAATTCATCCCCCATCAATGCTCTTGTCCACCTGCAAATGACATGTGTGTGTTTGTCATGGTAATAACATTTATTTCCCCAAACTAGAGTGATTTTAAATTTATTACGGTTGAGTTGTACTGTTATCATAGCACTGAAATTTATACCTACTAGTGTTCCTACCCTTTCAACTGCTGATGGACTTTTTATTTTTGTTAGCCTGATGTTGAAAGTTTTAGCTGTAAAATTTACATCCATGATTAGTTCTGTGAGATTTTGTGTCCTAAAGACATATCTTTATCGTATCTATGATTACATTTTTCATTCATGGCAAGTTTTTAGGACCTAAAAACACATCCTTGAGATAAGTGGGCCTTTTGTTTCCATCATGGCAGGACCTACTTGTTTTTTGAGGAATGATTGGTGGGATCAGGGACAGGAAAGACTGAGGACAGTTATCAGGACCTCAGGGAGGAGAGAAGTCCACCAGGCCAGGCAGCCAGCTCTCGGAAAATCCTGTGTTGTCAGAGCCTTCCTCTTCCCCAGCAGCTCCCTCTTCTCCTCGACACCTCTTCCTTTCCTCCCAGCAGTCCTGAGCAAACCTCTCTGAGCCTAGAGTTTGGTGGTCTCAGTGGACCTGAGCCTGGTTGCAAGGGGTGGCAGCACTGCTGGGGTAGAAGCTGCCAGGGTAGAGCAGGGCCCTCTGTCTAATCAGGGGAGGGTGGAGCTCACCACCCAGAGCCACTCACCTGTCCAGGCTGCTGGGAGTGACCTGCAGAGTGCCGGGCTCCGCTGTCCTCCCTCTGATTTCTGAGAGGGTTGGGGTGGTGACAGCCATTGTCACAGGAACCTCTCTGGCTTCAGCTCCTCCTTCTAAGCCTCCTTTCAATCACAATCAGCCAGCCAGCATGTCTGCCACTTTCCTGGCTCTTCCTAAGTTGTTGACTCCCAGCAGAAAAGGCAAAATCGGTTTGTGTTTTACATATCATACTGTGTGCTATAACCACTTTTTTTAGTAGACAAGAATGACAGAAATCCTCCTGGTTTTCATGTCTTCCAAACCCTCCCTAATGTACAACTCTTAACTCTCAAAATTTCTTCTTAAATCTTTATTCACCAAAGTCCCTCACAAAAAAAGTCTATTGGTTTTTATTTCTTCCTTTCTAAAGCTCCCAATCTGTCTCTCTAGAACTTTCTTTCCCCCAACAAACTCCCTGCTTTGTGCCTACCCCTGAAATGTCAGGCTGAGTTGACCCAACATACGAAGACAACAGGCTTGGTTCTACCTGGACACGGCTACAATGCCCACTGCAGAGGCGAGGGCTCATCCAGCGTGGGCTCCCCCGGCGAGGCGGCTCCGGGAGAAGCTGTGGTCTTTGCCTCCGGTAGAAGTGTGAGGGGCACCAGGGCGAGACTGCCAAGAGGCCCTAGAGAGGCACCGTGAGAAGCTTCTCTTCCTCCAACCCCCAAAGCAGAGAGAAAAAAGCAAACACTGTGCCGGAATGGAAACAGAGAGTCAGTCACAGGAAGCGACACCACCAACGTGCTAACGGGGCCTGGGGCACAGGAAACGCTGCTCAGCTCTTACTAAGAGAAGAAAACTTGTCTGTGCCCCTGTTCCCTGGGTCAGCCAGGTGTGCCGTGCTCTGTGGGAGTGTGACTGAGGCTGGAGCAAGGTGGTGGGGTATCTGTGCTTGTTTACCCTGGGTTTCTGAGACGTCTAGTGTTTTATAAACCTCCAGGTTTATCATGTTTTTTAGTAGGTCTAAGGAGCCTAGGAAGACGCTTTTTAGAAAAACGCAGAGCTCTGGCACCTGCGGCTGTTCCATGGGCAGAGAGTCCAGAGGGGGACAGGTTGTTTTCATAAATGCTTCCCCGGTGATTTTGACGGAGCTGGTCTGTGTTCCACATTTGAGAACCTGTGCTCTGGGTTTGACCCTCAGAGTGGAGCTGAGGCTGGGTTAGCGGGGCCCTGGAGGCCATCTCTTCCTGAAGGCCTGCCTGCAGTGGCCCCTGAGTGCTGGCTGTCTCCCTTGCAGGGCTCTTGGAGAAGATCCATCCCAGGCCTGCTTTTTGTACACCCCCATGTGCACCCCAAGTGTGCCAAACTTCAAAGATTGCTCCAGATTTGTTTCTAACTCCCTTCCCTTCACCAATCTCCTGAAACTCGCTTTGCATCTTGGGAGAGTCCAAAGAGAAGGGGCCACTAAGACTATTATGAGGGTGTGAAGAAGAGCCTTTGACTTCACTTTCCACAAGGAAATGGATTCCCAGGTGGATGGTAGGGAAGATAGGTGATGCCTCCTCCCTATGCCTCTCTCCCACCTCTTCCCAGTGGACATCAAGGCCCCTGGCCTCCCTGAGCTGTCAGCCCCTGCCCTATGTACGTCTAGGCTCTCACAGGGCCCCCAGGGGAGGGGGCTGCAGGTTGGCCCAGGAAGGCCCCCCAGAGCTCTGCCATTCCAGGTCCTTGCTGCCCTCCTTCCAAGTAGCCTTACCTGGCAGGAAGCTCAGAGACAGCTGGTTCTAGAGCTGGAACCTGGGTCTCTGCCCACTTCTCCTTTCGATCAGGTCTGAGTAAGAACTAGGACACCTCACAGGGAAAAAGACCACCAGTCTGTCACACTGGGTGGTGGCCGGGACTGGTGGAAGAAAGAGGCCCTCAGGCCTGCCCTCAGCCACTGGTGCCAATAGGGGATGGTGTGTGAAGCTGGAGCTTAGAAGGTGGTACACGGGAAGGGTGAACCTCGGAGCTCTGACTGCTACTTAAAAAAAATGCTTTTCAAGAACGTCCCCCTGTGTGTGACCATCTCGAGTCCCCACTTCTCTCATCCACCAGCCTGCCTGAGTCAGACTAATCTCCCCTCCAGTCTTCTGATTTCCTCCTGCCCCCACACTTGAGGGAAACAGCCCCTCAAAGGAGGCTCGCAGGCTACAGGCCAAGCTCCGGGTTTCCAGGCCCCGGCTGCGCCCTCACCCTGCTCTCCATTCCCTCCCGAGGTGCCAAAACCAACCAACCTAAACACAAAATAGGTGTCTGAAATTATTCATCATAGTGTGGAAGACAATTCCTCCTTCTGGGAAACGGCGCTGTGTTTAGAGCGGCGTGCTCTTGTACTTGCCTTTCACCAGCCTCAATGATTTCAGGGGTTGAATGCGACTCACGATTCTAAAGTATTAAGACCGGCTTTAAATTGACAGAACCTATGCACCCAAGTGAGCAGAGCCCCTTGAGGGCAGGGGCTCCATGCTAACTCAGTGATGTTGCTAACAGCAAAACCTTTCCGAATCCTCTTTGGAAGACAGGTGCCCTAGGTGAGGAACATCAGCACGTGTTCAGATCCTAAATTACTACTTGGTTGATCTTGGGCAGGGCCTCCAACCTTTTTGGGTGTTTCCTTGGATGTAAAATGACAGTAATGACAGTGCGTAGGCAATGCTGTTGTGAGAAATAATGGGGCTAACAATGAAAAACACTTGCTTAGGACTTGGCACATGCAAGAGCTCATTAAATGGGGCTGCTATTATGTTATTCTCTCATTATGCATTAGGCTCATTTCTTTATACTTAAGGGACTGCTCGCTCTTCCTCTCCTGATGCTTAGCCCGCTGACCTTCCATGTGTTACTTCCGTCTCGAAGCACATACTTGCCGGCCGTCTCCTATTGCACAAGAGGCCCTGGCTTTGCACGTAAGGCAGACGCGGTCCCTGCCGCCGTGCAGTGGTCATCTCGGCTGGCTGCCGCCTTGTACTCACTCTGCATTCCAGGCGGACCCGGCTTGCTGTCACATTTGTACTCTGGGCCTTTGCACGACAAGTTCCGTCATTTTAACAGCAGTTTCTTTTTCTCTTGTAAAATTCCAATAAAATCACATTTTAAGAGTTTATACTGGTTATTTCTGGGTTGTGGGGCTTGAGGTATTTTGTTGCTTTCTTCTTTGGGCTCTTATTGCTTGAATTATTACAAAGATCAAGTGTAATTTTTGTAAAAAACAAAATTGTTATTAAAAAAAAAATGTGGCCCAAGTGTCAGCACCTCCGCGAAGCCTTCCCGTCCTGAGAGCCGGGTTCTTGCTCTTCTGTGTCCCCACGGCACCATGCATGATAGCACCTCTCAGTTGTTGGGATTAGTTGTTTAAATGTCTGTCTCCCCAAGTAGACTTCGAACTCCTTCAGGGCGGGGACTGTGTTGTATTTATTGTTCTCTGGCTTTTGGCACAGTGCCTGACCATAAGAGTTAATTGGGCTCTAAGAAGTTCTCCTAGGTGCTTATTGCTGCTGTGAATTTATGACCTGGGTGTGTAATGGGGCGAGATACTGGGAAATCGATCAGTGTCTAGCCTGTTTTCCTGCTGTGCGCTCATCAGCCAAGTGAACACGGCAGGCCTGCACTGCCTCTCTCAGGAAGGACAACCTGAGGCCCGGTGTGTCTCCTTGCTCCAGGACGGGGTTAACAGCCGCTTTTGTATTTCTAGGCCAAAAAATGCCAAAATTGCGTTGTGTGAAAGACAGCTCCAGCTAGGCTTTGTTTCTGAACATTTGGGAGCTGAGACAACCACCGCAGGGTGATAGGTGGAGCCTTGATGGCGGCAAGCCCCACCCACTCGTTCATCTGTGTCCTGGAGGCCTTCTCCAGCGCAGACAAGTCTGAAACAGAGAACAAAGGCCGCGAATACCTTCCTTTTAAGTTAAAGCTCTGAGAGAGCAGGGTTAGGACAGAAAGATTTAGAAAGTACAGAAATATTTCTCTCACTTCTCTGCTTCCTGCCCCTGCTCCACCCAAGGCCCTTGGGGAGAGTGAGGAGAATTTGGAAGCAAGGAGTGTGAGCAGACAAGGGGATGGTTTCCGTTCCCCACTTAGGCTAAGCCCTAGTGGAGGAGGGGGGTTGGCATGGCTGACAGTAAGAGAACCCTTCCCTTAAGTCTGGTGACCTCTGCCTGCTTGGTCCTTCTGGAGTTCTATGTCTGGCAGCCTCCACTTGAGTCCTGGCAACCACAGAGCCAGAGCAGAGAGAGCTGGGAGGCACGTCTGGATGAGCACATGTCTGCTGACAGCCCCTAGTCTTGTCTCAGCCGGACGTCCCTCCCCCAGCCCACAGAAGAGAGCCCGTCTGTCCCCTGGTCCAGGAAGGAGGCAGCTCCTCAGCAGAGGGAGCAGGGTGGGCAGTCATATTAGGCATCGACGAGAGCAAAGCGCATCTCAGAAGAAACACCAAGGGCAGCTGGCATGCCAACAGGAGTGGGAGGCTGGAACAGGGAAGGCACAGGTCAGGATGGTTTTCTTTGCTCCCTTCTTGCGTGAGTGAGTAGAATATCATTTCAATCATTTCATTAACCAGGGCGTCAGAAACAAGCTAGGGTGGCAAGCAGCATGTCTTAATTTAATTTTTTTTTTTGAGCAAGGCTTTTGTTTTCTCTTTTGTGTGTCATAGGAGAGCATGATGTTGGGGCGTGGGTTTACCTGTGGCCCTTGGTATTAGGCTGGGCCCACATGCGGCCTGTGTGCAGCCAGAGCTGCTCTGTTCTTCCATTCTCCCTAGATTGCAGCCACATGAGAGCCAGCATAATCCCCTTAAAGTGCAAGATAGATCATTGTGGTCCTCGGTTAAAACCGTCTAATGAATTCCCATTTTATGAAAGCCAACCTCATAATAGCTTACAGGTTCTGCCCCCACTTCCAACTCTCCATCTCTGAACTCATCTCCTTCACTTTCCCACTTAGTCACCTAGTTCCAACCACTGGCTTCCCTGCATGTCCTCAAACAATCCAGATCTCCCACCTTAGGGCCTTTGCACTTGCTGTGCCCTTTGCCTGGAATCTCTTTCCTCTACATGTTTACATAGCTCACTCTCTTAGTCCTTTCACATTTCTGCACAGACATCTCTCTGT